TAGTTAGAAAAAACACCTCTAACCACTTTAGTTAGAAAAAACACCTCTAACCACTTTAGTTAAAAAAACACCTCTAACCACTTTAGTTAGAAAAAACACCTCTAACCACTTTAGTTAGAAAAAACACCTCTAACCACTTTAGTCAGAAAAAACACCTCCAACCACTTTAGTCACACCTGTCCTGTTCAGTCGTTTAGTTAGAAAAAACAACTCTAACCACTTTAGTTAGAAAAAACACCTCTACCACTTTAGTTAGAAACAGAAATGAGGAGCTGATCACACCTCTCCTGTTCTGTCGTCTAGTTAGAAAAACAGAAATGTTTCCGTGGTTTCAATGTGAAATTGGGACTGAAATATGGAAGTAAAATAAACGAACTCCTCTGATTACGTCTCAGATTAATTAATTAATCAACTAATTAATTAACTAACTAACTAACCCTTTAATTAACTAATTAACTAATTAATTACGTCTCTGGATAAAACAACCAAGCTCCTGACCGATAAAAGATAAAAAAGACATACAGGAGATGTTTGAATGGACGGTGTAATTTAAGCCTGGTCCTACTTTTTTCAAATAATATGGACAGTTCTTTTTTCTTTTTTTAAACTTTTTAAACTATTTTTTTAGCATTTAGCATTATGGAGGGGAACAGAAAGAGGCAGGCAAACATAAAAGATAAATAAACAAAATAATAATAATAATATTAATAAAAATAAAACAGATATTGGGTCTAGTCTGTCACACTGTAAAGGGGTATAGCACATATCGGTACTCCAGGAGAAAAAGATAAATGGATAGATAGATAGATAGATAGATAGATAGATAGATAGATAGATAGATTTAAAGAAGCCTTGATAATAAAAACAGCAATATCAGTAATACATGGATATAGTAAAAGTGTACAAGAGTCCTAAGCTAAATATTCAGTAACTGGGGTCCAGCTTCTCAGAAAAACAGGTACTTTCATCTGTAGTTGGTCATATGTTCCATCATGTAGACGTGTTTTACTCTCTGTAACCACTGAGGGATCGTGGGAGGGTTTAGACTTTATCCAGTTAATATCCGTCTGTTTCTTAAAGGCTTGTTTGGGTGACTGAAAACCAGAGATGTGTAAAGTACTGAAGTAGAAGTACAAGTACTATATAAAAAAATTGACTTGAGTAAAAATTTAAGTGTTCTTTCAACACCATACTTTAGTGGAGGTACGGAAGTACTCCATTTTTTTTTTTTAAGTATTGCAAGTAGAAGTATTTCAAAAATTGCTATTCAAGTATTGAAAGTACAAGTAAAAGTACAAGTACTGTGTATATTAAAAAAGGCAGTCAAAGGTTTGGTAGATATTGTTTATATTATTTTTTCAACAGATATGTAGTATGTAGCATTGTTCTGCGGTAAACAGGTCAGGAAACATTATGGACAGTTCTACTTGTAGATATAAATTTTCTTGGATCCTGTTTCAGATCTGAAGTGAAACGAGAAAAACAGGAGTTTCCTTTACGTGTTTTTGTGTGTTTAGGTTGAGTTCTTCGAGCCCTTCTGGGACAGTGGAGAGGCCAGAGTGGGGGAGTTTGGGGCCCGAGGCTGGAGGGCCTGGATGCACCAGCAGGAGCGGGGGGGCTGGCTCCAGCCCGACGCAGGTGATGCTATTTTATCTATCTATCTATCTATCTATCTATCTATCTATCTATCTATCTATCTATCTATCTATCTATCTATCTATCTATCTATCTATCTATCTATCTATCTATCTATCTATCTATCTATCTAT